CAGAATGCTCCTTAGAAGCAAGGATGGCGAGACTTTGTCTCATGTACTTCAGTTATATAATCAGAAGGGACTAGTCCCTGGAGAAGGACATCATGCTTGGTAAGACAGAGGGTCAGTGAAAAAGAAGACGACCCTCAAGGATATGGATTGACGCAGTGGCTGTAATATTGGGCTCAAACATAGCAAGGACTGTGAGGGTAGCACAGGACCAGAAAGTGTTTTGTTCTGTTGTGCATAGGATCGATATGAGTAGCTACCAACTTGACGGCACCTATCAACAGCAGCAACAAAGTTAAAAAATTACCAGCAAATAATCACTTCTACCTTAGTGTATAATAAATAATTAAACTCCTGAGGTATTTCCAAGGATTTCTGGATACATAGCAAGTGCTGTTGAAAATAAAAATTGGAAAAACAGATGATTGCTTTTATTCTAAGATCACACCCTTAAAAGATTAAAGGAGGAATGAAAATTTTCTGAAATTTTGCTGGTATCAGCTAGATCAGAGGTCTTCAAACTATGGCCCTCAGGCCAAATCTGACTTGCAGCCTATTTTTATAAATAAAGTTTTACTGAAACACAATTACACCCGTTTGTTTATGTCTAGTCTAAGGCTACTTTCCCACTTCAGCAGCAGAGTTGAGTAATTGGAGCCGAGACTGCATAGCCCATAATGCCTAAAATATTTACTGTCTGGTCACTTACAGATAAAGTATGCTGACCTCTTGGCTAGAGCATTAGAATCAGTTATAATTATTATTCATTGGCATTGTAAAAGACTTAAATTTAATTATGAAAAATACTCTCAAGACTGTTTGATGGCAAGGCTTAATAGCTGGCTTGGCCATAGAAATCAGTGAGATAGAGACCAAACCCCTGTGTGAGCCACGGTGCCCTCCCCCACAAGATTCTCTATTTTGTGAGCTAAAGCCCAAAGGAGAAGGGATGAAACAGTAGCCTTCTTTTTACATTAAACTTTTTATTTTCAGATAACTGTAGTTGTCTGAAGTAATACCCAGTTTGCCCCAATGGTAACTTCTTGTGACACTATCTTACGGTCTCACAAACAGGTTATTGACATTGATAGAGTCAGGATACAGAACATTGTTGCCCCTTGATAGCCAATTCTTCTTCTTCTTCTTCTTCTTTTTTCTTTTTTTTTTTTAACTCAGCACATTCTCCAGAGAATTGTCCAGGTTATTGCATGTATCAATAGTGTGTTACTTTTTTGCTGCTGAATAGGATGTCTGTATTCCATGGTTTGCTTCAGCACTTACTTATGGAAAGACATCTGGATTGATTCTAGGTTTTGGCTACAAATCAATCTGTTGTGAACATTTGTGTACAGGTTGTGTTTGTGTGTGTCTGTCTTTCGTCATTAGAGTTCTTTCTCTGATATTAAAGCATGGGGCCGCATTTGTGGGGGTATATGGTAGTCACATGCTTAATTTTACTTGAAACTGCCAAAATGTTTTCTAGAATTGCTGTATCGTTTTGTCTTCCCACCAGGAATGTATGAATGATCCAGTTTCTTTCTATCATCACCAGTATTTGATGTTATTACTCTTTATTGTAGCCATTCTGGTGGGTGTGTAGGGATTTCACTGTGGTTTAAATTTGCATTGCTGATGGCGAATCATGTTGAACATCATTTCTTATGCTTATTTGTCATCTATATATCCTTTTCAGTGAAATAAGTGTCTTTTCATATCTTTGCTCATTTTCTCACTGGATTTGTTTATTTGTTTTTTTTTTTTTACTGTTGAGTTTTGAGAGTACTGGGTATATTCTAGACACTAGTCCTTTGTCAGATAGGTAGTTTGCAAATATTGTCTCCCAGTTTCTAGCTTGTCTTTTTTTCCTGTTCGCATGTGCTTCCACAGAGCAAAGGTTTTGAAGTTTGTTTGGGTCCATTTGTCAGTTGTTCATCTTGTGGATGGTGCTTTGCTGCCAAGTCCAAGACCTCTTTGCCAGCCCTAGATCCCCAAGATTTTTTCATTACTTCCACGTGGGGCTAGAAGTTTAGGTTCCTGACTCAACCTCTATTGGCACCTGTGGAGGATGGGGGTCACATTCCTCATTCTGAATGGGAGTGGGAGTTCTGGCTTCCCATGAGGCATCGGTGGCTATCCGTCTGGTTAGCAGTGGTAGAAGTGTTCCTTACTGTTCCCCATGTGGTCTCCCCGACACACTATGGATGGAGGGTGGCTTCTTCACCACTGGGTGATAGTAAAAGTCCTGACTGTCTACTAGTCCTCCTCTGACACTACCCCAGTGGGGAGGGGGAGGGGTGTCTCTTTAATGCCCCTTTGGGTGGAAGTCT